TCCTCCAAGAAGGATTTAAGTGTCACTATATGGGCTGCTGATTACATTATTCTCCTACAAGAAGGATGCATGAAGAAATTTATTACCACAATACAGAAATAGGTACAAGATAGAAAAGAAATCAAACCATGGATGACCAAAATAGCTTTGTTAATATGTACAGAATGTAGAGAATAAAGATGACGAAGCACCAAGAACTGAAAAGCAAGCATAAGCCTCGTAGTGGAAACGCAGGTTCCAGCTGCTCTAAATTCTCACTGTAGAAGAAATTCTAAGTTATTTAAGAGTTAGAAAATAATAACTAATATGTATTTGAGTTTTTATAGATAATTAATGAATTATACTTAATTTTTGGAACCACCACAAATTGAGTATTTCTATTACTCTCTCACTTTTCTTTTTCCCATTTCCAATCAAGTCTTACTTAAAACTAATCTATCTCTTAAAATTTTTCCCAACATATTTGCAAGTTTTAGCCAGCAAGATTAAAAAATGTTAGCATCTGGATTAAATAAAAGTGATTAAAGAAAAAGAAGATGAAAGAAAAGGAGAAATATATATGCACTTTGTTTTCTTAATGAGCTGGTTTTGGGTTTGGCTACATGCCTTGTTGATTGTTGGTTTGGAGATTCAGTTGTCTCTTTTGCTATTTGTTTAATTCCTTCTGCTGGACCTTTAGGTTCTTCTGTGTAAACTGATGCTGGTTTAGGTGTCACCAATGGTGTTTCTTGTTGTGGTTCAGTTGGTTTCAGGAGTTGAGATTCCGTCATCATCTCTGATACCTGTTGTTGGGATTCATTTGTTGTGATCGGTACCTTCTTTGCCTGCGATATGATTACCAAAGATTACGCAAATCAATATTCCGGAACATCTTGATTCAACAATGATTTGTCGAATTATTTTCTCACCAATTCTCTGAATTGAAGATTGTAAATCATTTGATTGTAACGATCTTTGGCTGCCTTCTGATCAAGATTCAACTCCCTCCAAAATCCATACATACCTCCCATGGTTAACACTTTCTTTGCATATATTTTCCATGTATAACTGCAAAGCAACAAAATCACTACATCACTCAAGTTTCTTGTCATGTTAGTGATCAAGTTTAA